CAATATGAGCCACAGTGTGATGTGGCTACAAAAAAGGCTGATGCAATGTAAGGCTGCATTAACGGAAGTACAGTGGTGCCTCGCAAGACGAAAAATATCACAAGACCCATTCGTCTTGCGAGTTTTTCGTCCCGCAAGGCATTCGTCTTGCAAGGCACCACTGTATACTTTCCAAATCCCATGAGGTGCTAGTCCTGCTCTATTCAGCACTGGTTAGGCCTCACCTTGCATCTTGTGTCAAATTCTGGATGCCACACTTCAAGACGGATGCTGACCAATTGGAACAAGTTCAGAGAGAGGGCCACCAGAATGATCAAGGGGTTGGAAACCAAGCCTTATCAGGAAAGGCTGAAAGAACTGGGCACGTTTGGCCTTGAGAAAAGAAGGCTGAGAGGTGACAGGATAGCACTTTTCAAATAAGTGAAGGGCTGTCGTACAGAGGAGGGGCGGGATCTGTTCTCCATCATCCCATAGTATAGGACATGCAACCATGGGCTCAAGTTAAACGAAGCCAGATTTTGGTTGAATATCAGGAAAAACTCCCTAACGGTTAGTACGGCAGTGGAACCTGTGACCTCAGGAGTTGGTGAATGCTCCAATGCTGGAAGTATTCAAGATAAATTTGGAGAGCCACCTGGCAGATCTCCTTTGATTTGTATTCCTGCCTTGAGCAGGGGGTTGGACTGGATGGCCTTAGAGGCCCCTTCCAGCATCATGATTCTAGGTTTCTAGGATAACATGGCTTTCTCCTTAAGAAGGACCCAAGGAAGGGGACAACATCAAGCTCTAGAATGAAGCGTCATGTATGCGTGCTAAATATCTCATATGTGTGATTCATGGAAGTTACAAAGAAGAACATAAGCAACACTAAAACACTTTCAGAGCAGTAAGGTAGAACAATTCATTGAAAACCCAACTTAGGCAGCCAGTCATGGAGGGAAAGCCTGCCTGAGGAGAAAGGTCTTTGCTTGCTTGGAGAAGGACAGCCAAGATGGGGTCAGGCTGGCCTCCAGTGGGAGGGAGTTCCACCGTCTCTGGGAGAAGCCACAAAGAAGGCCCCTTTCAGGTGTCCCCACCCAATGCATCTGTGAGGGTGGTGGGATGAGAGGAAGACCTTGGTGAGATTTATGGAATTGGCTGTCTGACTCCGAGTAGGGTGGTTTTTCCCTTGCAAAGATTTCAAAGCAGAGGCTGAGCGGCCACGTGTTAAGAGACCCTTTAAGGCATGGATCACAAGAGTTCTGACTCCTGTCCTCTGAGGATGCCCATGGCCACAGAGACTGGTGAAACGTTAGGAAGAACAACCTTCAGAACACGTCCAAAGAGCCCGAAAAACCCACAGCCACCATCGGATGGCCAGTATTGGGGGACTGGACTCAGACTTTTAGGGGCCCCTTCCAGCTCCACAATCATATAATTCAGTAACCCACTTCTTACTGCTTTCGTGTAGTACATTGCACTAGAGTAGTCCCACTGAAACAACTGGGATTCAGTGAGTTGCGATTTCCTGTGCTAATGTAAGCCATAGAGTAGGCCCATTTAAAGGAGTGGAATTTATGAAGGCGTTGACTCAACAAATACCCATTGATTCCACGGTCCTGCTCTAGTGCAATTTACTACACTAAGCAGTTGGATTTGGGCCAGTGACTGACACAGCCACCTGTGATGTTTGGTATGTTGCAATTTACTACACTAGGCAGTTGGATTTGGGCCAGTGACTGACACAGCCACCTGTGATGTTTGGTATGTACAGGGAGGTTTCTGAAAAGAGTACTGGACCAAGGAACCACCAAGTCCCCACGTTCGGTTTTACAAAATCCCATCTCCAGAGCGGTAGCCTTCTTCGTTGGTTCCAGCAAAGTATATCCTACAGTATGATGGACCCTTGACGTATTTTATTTGCCATGTGCCTGAAGAAGCAGGCTTGAGTCTGTGAGAGCTTATTTATGCCCAGATAATGCTGGCTAGTCTTTAAGGTGTTGTGAGACTCATCAAATCACTTTTTTTTTTCAAAAATAGAATTTGCAAGTTATGCCCAGCAGGAGGATGCTAGGTACAGTAGTCCGAAACCCAATGTATGCAGCCTCTTTAAAGAAAAAAAAATGATATGGGACCTCCATGTTCAGAGGCAGAGTATCTGTAAGCAGCAGGTGCTGAGAAACCCAAAGGGTGGGGGTAGGAAAACAGCCCCTTTGCTCTTTCCTTATTTTGCAGAATCATAGAAAGGTAGAATTGGAAATATACCCAAAGGGGGGGTTATCCAGTCTGGCCCTGATGGAGGGAATCTATGGACAAAGCATCGGAATCGGGGGCCCTCCAACTTCTCTTAAACCCCCCCCCCCAACCCCCCCCCCCAGCAAAAGAGAATCTTCTGCCTCCTGGGGGAGCTCCCATTCTGTTGGCATGGACCTTCCCAGAGTCATCTGGTCAGCCACTATTCTTTGGAAGGAGGGTGTCGGCTGAGAGGGATGGGATGATGGCATGGCTTCACCGTGGTGTTCGGAAGGGAAGCTTGCTCCAGTGAGGAGGCATCTGGAATGCATCTGGAAATGCCCTTAAGATTTCCCAGCAGGTTCACGCTGTCCATTGCAGCAAAAGCTTCACGGCACCTTAGCAGCTTTGGGGGAAAGGCAGAGGAATGCTCTTCGTCTGTTTTCAGGAGGAATCAAATTGAAATAAAAACCTTCTTGCCTCCGAAGGCCCCACAGGGTGACTTCTTGATTTGGCTTTTGAAAAAACCAGGCTCGGGGCTCAGATCACCATCTCCCGTCGGGTTGACCAAATGCAGCCAAGAGGTGTCTCTTGATTACGCTGCGTAGACAACGGCTCCAAGGAACCAGCAGGTGCTGAAGGGCTTTTGAAAGCAAACAGAAAAAGGACCAGCCGCTGGACTCGGAGCGGGCAAAGTCCGATTAGAAACCAGGCGCCCATTTTTGGTATGGTGCGTGAGTGTGTAAACACAGTGCAGCCGTTCTGCGTGTGATGCTTTGTTGTATTTTTTTAAAATTAATTTTTTATTTTGTCACTCTGTGTGTTGCGCTGATGCAATTCTCATGAAACGGTACTAGAGACGGGGGGGCATGTTTGGAAGGATGAGTCATGTTCACAGAGGGGTTGTTTGAGATGAGAAAAGGCAAGCGTCTTGAAGGGGAGGAATCGAAGGAGTGGCAGGAGGGGGAAAGAAAAATGTAGGAGGACCAGACCACATCCTCCACCAGGGGTGGGGAGCAATCAAAGAGGGAGGCAAAGAGGGAGGGGTGGGGAAGGCAAGGTGGAAAAAGAAGACGCCTGAAATCAGCATCCTTCTCTTAGAACTGCAGGGCCGGAGAAGGGAAACCTAGGGATCAGCTCTGGTCAAAGAGGCCCCATAGGGGAATCGAACTCCCAACCTCTGGCTCCATAGCTCCATAGCCAGATGCCTAAACCATGGAGTTATCCAGCCGTTCATCAAGGATGACCCTCATTCTTGTCTTAGAACAGCTGGAAAGGGACCCTCTGGATCACTGAGTCCAGCCACGGTCAAGGAGACCCTATGGGGCATCAAACGGCCAACCTCTGGCTCTGTAGCCGGATCGGACACTGTCCGGCCAAGAGAGGGCAACCAGGCCACGGAGGGTGATTTTTTTCAGGGGGGGGTCTTGCATGAGGTTGGGAAGGTTTGGAGTGGCCAAGCAGTAACCCAGCTTTCTCCAGCTGGAAACCTCTCCAAAGGGGCTGGATCGCAAACGTGAATGCTGCCGCCAACCGCCATGGCCCCGTAGATGAAGAGAGACTGTGAGCTGGGGACACCCGAGAGAGTGAAGCCGTGGTCTTGGTGGCCTGCTAGGGGGCTCCCACGAAGTCTCTGCCTTTAGGAAGCAGAGTCCTAGCTTAGAGGGGCCTTTGGGAGGTGGGGTGTTGTCTGGCGGTGGTGATTCCCCAGGTGTTTCTCTTTCTTCACCTCCAGTTCTGCTCCCACCTTGAAGCCATCCTGGACGGATGCAAAGGCAAGGGTTACAAAGATCCAGGTTTGCAGAGGCTCGACCCTGGTGGAAAAGTTGACGTTATCGCCAAACCTTTGCTGTTCGCTACCTAGGGCCCCCCCTGCGCCCTCCACTTTTTGACGGGGGGAGCATTGTTTGTTTTACACGCAGATGCAGCGCCTGCCTGATGTGGGGCCGGCGCACGCACCCCTCTCTGCTCAGCAGCCCCTTCTGCTCGTAGCAGCCTGCCTGGGCCTAATTGAATTACCGTCCCGGCACGGGGCTGAAGGCTGCCGATAATTGAATTTCTGCCGTCACAGGCTGCTGTTTCTCTCCTCCAGCCTCTGCCTGGTTTTTATTGTTTCTGGGTTGGACTGCCGTGGCACATTTATTTGATCTGTCACAGGGAGCCCTTTCACCCTGGCCAGTTTGCTTGAAGGCATGCTGTCGTCCTCCTCGTTGCCTGCTTTGCTGTCCCCCCTACCCCACCCCAAACACAATTAAGAACAGATCAAACAAATTGGTGTGTGTGTGTGTTGCTGCCCGTATTCCTGTGGGGACACAGATATGTTGACTTTTGAGCCAAGCACAATGGTGAACCGGCAGCTTCTTGGATGGTGGGTCTCCGGGACATTCATAAATCGGCAAGGGTCCTTCCTAATTTTGCTCAACTGGACAAAGGGGGGGGGGAGCAGCAGGAGGCCTTCTGAAGCAGAGGCAGCTGTCCAAGGAGGAGGTTTTGGGTGCTCTTTGGGCACACGCGTGAAGGAATAGGAGACGGAGGGCTTGGGACCAGGGGGCACAGCCTGCTGGGAAGTCCTCTAAAAGCTCTATCCATCCAGCTTGCAAAACTTCTAACTTACTTGAAACTTTGTCAGTATTCGATTGCTTCCTTAAGACTTCTTCTGTTCCAGCCGATATCCTGTCCTGGTACTTGATCCACTTCCTGCCTCTTTTAAAAACTGTTCCATTTTGACTGGTTTGGGTTTACTCCCTTGGGCATCTTTTAGAGGGGAAAGGTAAGAATGAAAACAACACGTTGGGCCCCTTGTTCTCCAAAAGCAGCTCGGGAGATGGGAGGATCAGGACAGGGGTCTGGACCCGGCGAGACGGAGACAAAACTTCACTGTGAGTTTTATGGCCGAACCGGGAATTTGCAGCCAGGTTCCCCAAGCCCTGCCCTCTGACTGTCTGCTCAGCACCGTAGGGGTCTGGCTGTTCCCACACGCTTTTCCTTCTGCACAGATAGCTTGCAAGCTCTACAGGAGTCTTCTGCTCTTCAAAGACTTTGTCCTGCCCGTCCGATTTCATTGTACCTGAAAGAAGCAGCCTGTTTGCACTTCATGCAGCCGACAAAGGACTGCGTGCCAGCCGCTGGAGGGGTTTCCCCTCGGCCCCTCATGGTGTGGTGCCACCAGGAAGGTGGCACAGAAGAGGCAGCTCCTTCTTAGCTTCACACCTCGCTCGGCGGTCTTCTCATGGGAATCTGGCCGGCCTTTGTGGGAAACGAAACTCTGGAGTGGGCAGGATTTCGGTTCCCGGTCAGATTCCCTGCAGGATGCTTCTCAGGTGGGTGTCATCTTGGGCAGAACCGGTGGGGTAGCAGGCCCTTTCGAAAGGAAGCTCCTCGTGACGTGTCAGGTTCATTCCGACTTGTGGGGGCCTTTTTCAGGGTTTTCTGGGTAGAGAATACCTAGAAATCGTTTACCGTTCGCTTCTTCTGGGACTGCCATGCTGCTTGCCCAGGGCCATGCAGGCTGGCTCTCCTCACAGAAGGCCCATGGGGGGGGGGGAGGAATTGAACTCCCAAACTCTGCCTCCACAGCCTGAGACCAAAACCACTGAGCTATCCAGCGAGCATCCTACCATTGTGTGCCATCCAGTCAATTCCGATTTACGGCACCCCTTTTCGAGGGTTTTCCAGGTAGAAGAGGTTCCCCATTTCCTTCTTCTAGGGATGCTTTTTTTTAAATTATTTTTTTATTTTTTAAACTACTGGGAATAGGGTAGGGAATACAAAGGGTAAAAGGAAGTGTAAGGGATGGGAAAAGGGTTTTGAAGATAGGAGAACACAGAGTATACAATCATCCAATCATCCTTCTTCTAGGGATACAAACCGATCCATGTGCAGCTGTGGCTCAAAAGCCTGGCTCTTCTCCTGGGAGACGCAGCGGGAGAATTGAACTCCCAACCCTCCGGCTCTGCAGACAAGAGAGCTAAACCATGGATCTCTCCAGCTAGTCGGCCGTATACAAAGGACAGCAAAAATGCTACAAGGCTCCACAGGGATTAGGGACACCCCAGCTCAGCCATGCAGCGTAACTGGGTTGTTGAGCCTGCAGTGGGAGAAGTGAAGACCGTGTCCTCCTTGATGTACAAACACACAACACAAAACAGTCTCTCATTTTGTTTCTGTCTCCCCTTTTCCAGGAAGTGACTATGGAAAGAAGTGACATCACACTGTCATTCTCTTAACTTTTAGTATCTCACATCCCAGTGATTATCTGATGGAAGAACCTGGCTCCCACCATGCCAGAAAGGACCAGTTTTCCCCTTAAGAAGGACGTTCCTGTGTTTATGGGCATTTTATTATCAAACGGGTCATTTACAGCAAACTGGGAAAGACCAGGAACAGGTTTAGAAGTAACAGTCAAACGTCCTTGTTGTTGTTCAGTCGTTAGTCCTGTCCGACTCTTCGTGACCCCTATCAAACGGGTCATTTACGGCAAACTGGGAAAGACCAGGAACAGGTTTAGAAGTAACAGTCAAACGTCCTTGTTCAGTTGTTAGTCCTGTCCGACTCTTCGTGACCCCACAAACCAGAGCACGCCAGGCCCTCCCGTCTTCCACTGCCTCCCGGAGTTGGGTCAAAGTCATGTTGGATGCTTTTAAGACCCTGTCCAACCATCTCGTCCCCTGTCGTCCCCTTCTCCTCTTGCCCTCACACTTTCCCAACATCAGGGTCTATTCCAGGGAGTCTTCTCTTCTCATGAGATGGCCAAAGTACTGGAGCCTCAGCTTCAGGATCTGTCCTTCCAGTGAGCGCTCAGGGTTGATTTCCTTTAGATGGATATGTTTGTTCTCCTTGCAGTCCAGGGGACTCTCAAGAGCCTCCTCCAAACGTCCTTAGTTACTATTATTAGTACAGTACATCAAAAAGTTGCAGGTGGATAATCCACAGTGGCGATGGGGGAACCTGAGGGGGCAGAGTTTCAGGAGGGTGGGGGTCGGAGGGGGAGTGAATTCTTGGTTTTTATCATCACAAGATCGCCACTTGGACCTCCTTCCTTGTCCTGCCAGCACGACACATACCACAGGGTTCTGAACCAGTGCCATGGCCTAACCCTCTTGTACCCTTGAGTACACTTTTATTTTGACTTCTTGAGGGGTTCAAGCCAAATGGCTTTTCCTCCTATGGGACAAATGGCGAGAGCTCCCTCGGAACATCAGAGATGTCTCTCTACCTGCTGGGGAAAGGGAAATACTCAGAACCAAAGCTTTTTTAAAAAAGTTTAGTACAGATTTATTTAACACCTGAGGATTTAAGCAATATTAAATATAGCTCTGTTAATTAAACATCTGAGTTTTTTTTCTTAATTTCTGACCTCAAATACTTTACAGAGACTAGAACAGGAATGATTCCTCTAGGAACAGGTGCAAAAAAAAAGAGACACTCACAGCAGGGGGGAAAACAACAGGGAAGTCAACGGCTTTTAAAAAGATGTGGGATAGGAGGAAACGCCGAACCCCAAAGAGGGGGAGCCAGGATTTTTAAAATGAGCAATGCAGTCCAGACCCTTTGCCGCCTCCACCCGACAGAATGTCAAAAGCCTGCAAGCGCTTTGATTCCCTCCAGCGAATTTGCCCCCTGGCTCTCTCGGGTTTCCTGTTTCCGTCAGCTGCCACGGAGAAAGAACCACGAAGCCTGACCGCTGCAGAGACCGGTCTCTTTTTTTGGGGTGCAAAGTTACGACAATGGCTCTTCCTCAAAGTTTCTGGAGCCCTGCGTGGGGCACTTCTGCCCCCACCGCTTTGGCCCTCCATTTTAGCCTTCTTTCTTTCAATAGCTTTCTCATGCTTTAAATTGTCTTCGTTTTGATCTGCACACCTCCTTTAAGGACTCCAGAGTGGGATGGCATTGCCATATGCTAATAAAAATGACAAATTGCTAAAGCATGTCTCCAGAGTGACCCTTGCCAGCTCCTCCACCCGAAGCCACAAGCAGAGGGCGCATGCCCTCTGAACAAAGAGCGGGAGAGGTCCAGCCAGCTGGGCACTGGTAGAGGAAGGCCCTCTTCTCTATGCCAAGCCTGGCTTTAAAAAAAAACACAAACACCTTTCTGACCCGCCAAGACTATGGCAAACCATCACCCTGGAAGCAAGACGGTCTCCTGCAGAGATGCCCTGCTGGATCCCAGAAACCACAAGGCCCAAGGCCTGGTTCTTTGCTGTATGGGTGCGTACATGCCAGCCCAATGGAAGTGCTCTAGCATCACACGAGGGGGCTTCCAGGCCTCTGGTTCAAGAGCATGGGCTCCAGAGAAGATGACCTGGGAGAGCCAGGCGGGAGGGCATAGATTCAGGGCACAGGAAAGCCAATGCTTTGCTCAGCAAAGAAGGAGCCATCCCCCAATTCTCTCTTCCTCCTGCAGACTCTTCACTCTCCTTTGCTGCCAACAGATTGGGTGATGGGGCCGACCGATCCAGATCTGTGGCCCTTCTGCTGAGCTCCACGGAGGCCAACGCTCAGCCCTGCCAGGGACGGCTTCTTCATGAAATAAATAAGGAACGTAGAGCGCATTGGGATGCCAAAAAGAGGGAGCGCTAAACCTGATAAACAATCATCATAATAAAGGTATTCCTATTCTACTTCTTCCCAGTTCTCAATCCTCTGGCTCTAATCAGATTAGCAGCCAAACCTCCGGGCAAACTCAAATCAATGGGCTGAAGTGATGCTCGCTTATCCGAGTTCTATATGCGTGTGGAGGACCCATTAATCAGCTGACGCTCAAAGCGTGTTTGCGCCTGCCACTCCTTGGGGGAAAGCAGGTACCCCATCGCCAGGGAATGCCGCACTCCTGGGTACCTTCGCAGGCTGAGTAAGGGCTCAGGCGAGGGAAAGGACCGCCCGTCGTCCCTGCTCTCCCAGTGGGCCTGGCCAAGCCACCGGCTGTGGCCTTTCCTGGCCAGGACCTCCCTGCCTTTGCTTTTTCTCCTTTGACATCATGAAAGGGAAAACAACCCTTGACACCCTTTGTAGAGATTAAAATAAGCCTAAGGGCAGCCTGGCAGCAGCACACGGGGAAGGAGTGAAGGGGAGTGCAACACCCAAAGGAGTCTCGGCAGAAGATCCATGAAACCCACCAGGCTCTTACACAGCTCTCCTTAATTTCAACGGGGGCTGTGGAGGAGGTCTTCCGTGGGATTTTGACCTAAAGACAGGAGCAGTCGGGGCTCCGCGTGTGTGTCAGAGAGGCATGAGCAAATGGATATGAGAGACAGAGAGGAATGTGCGTGTAAGAGACCCACAGAAAATCCGTCAGACCAGCGACCATGGGATCTACACTGTGCATTTATTGCAATAAATTAATGGCGAAGGTGCAGCTCTTGGAGACGGGAAAGAATGGACCCAAGAAAATTCGCTTGAGCAGGGAGTCCACCACGCCCAGGACCTTCTGCAAGGTTGGGGGTGAGTGGTGGCTGGCTGGCTGGATGGAAGGAAGGAGAAAGAGCATGCCTAGCAATTTGGACGAGGCAAACAAGTTGCTAGGTCAGAGGGAAAAGCCACATCAGCCTTCCAACCACAGCCTGGGCGGGCACCCTTCTGTCTCCCTTCTGCCAGATCTCCCTGGCTCCGTGGTGGTGGTGGAGCTGGCTTGAGCTGCCAAGCTGATGTGCACCCTCTTCCCTCCGCTATCAAGTTCTAGAGAAACCGAAGCTCCCCGCACAGTCTTTCTAATTGTCTGTGTCTCGTGATTGCTTTATTTGCGACCATACATTCTGAAATCCTGCTTGCGGTGGGGCAGGCAGCCTCCCAGGGCAGGCGCGTCTACAAGGGATAAGACATCTCCTCAGGATTCAGGGGGGCCTGGATGTCCAGCTTCCGGCTTTTGCTGTCCTCCACGATCTCCAGCCGCAGGGTCGGCCCTTTTCTCTGGCCCTCCTGGAGGGACGGACTGTCCTTCTCTTTCAGGAGCTGCTTGTCTGAGTCATCCACTGCGATCCGCAAGGTGCAGCCGTGGGGCAGAAGGTCCTGCTCGTAGGCAGCCGCCAGCTGGTTCACCACCCGGCGCTCCACCTGCAGTGCAAAGGGAGGAGAACCACAGGCATCAAGCGGCCTCCACGGCGACCTGCAGGATAAGCTGCCACGGGCTGAGGCGAGGAATGGTTTAGGTGGTGCAAACCTCTCCTGCTAAAGACAGCAAAGCTCGCCCGAAAACAGATTTTTAACTGCAATGTTGTTAAGCAGGCTCTGTCTGTGTGTGTGTGTGTGTGTGTGTGTGTGTGTGTGTGTGTGTTGTTAAGCAGGCTCTGTGTGTGTGTGTGTGTGTGTGTGTGTGTGTTGGTGGTGGTGGGCGGACAGTGAGACAGCAATTGTCACATTCCTGCACGGGAATTTCCAAGTTTTGCTTCTTAATGCACTGTCACCTCCCATGTTCCTGGTGCAGTGTGGGCTATGGGTGACTTGAAACAAACACACCGTGGTGCAATTATTGCTCTCTCTCTCTCTCTCTCTC